TCTTTCTACCCCACACATGAGAGAGATCGTTCTAATAATTGTCTGGCTAATACCAGCCTTCACCAAAACTGAGACTGTAACCGCAGGCCAATAAAGACATGGGCTTTTCCTGTTTTTTGCCTACAAAGTTTGAAAATTTTCACCGATAAGGGCTGGGTTTGGGTTTCTCCTTCCCCACGGTCTCAAGTCCTTTCCCTCTCCAGCAGCAAGACTTGCTGTCTTCTGTCCATCAGGCGTCTACTGACAGAAGCTCGCTGGATCTAAGCTCAGTGGAAGGAGCCTTGGTGAAGGGCTGCAAAAAGAAACCTTAGAAGGCTTCCAACGCATTCTCAGGCCAAACTGGAGCAGTTTTTCAGGAATAAGTGCTTCTTGGTGCTCTTGGTTGATTTCTAGAGCCCTGAGTCATTCTGACAATTTTGTGCATAGAATTCACTGCACAATGTATGCTGCCATTCACACTGGTGGCATATAATTTTGAAAGAACAGAAAGCCATATGCTCTAGATACTTAACTCTTAACAAATGCAATTACCAGACGTTCACCTGAAGTCTTTCTCTAAACCTATGATTTCACATAACTTTCACTGGCTGGAAAAAAAAACAAACAAAAGAAATAAGGCCAAGGCAACATTGCATCTAAGGTGCTTTCCAAATACACCCCCCTGCCCCAAATCCCCTAACACACACCCCCGCAAGCTTACACAAAATTTTAGGGTTTTAAAAAGATTTAATTAATTAAAACTTGGATTTTTTTTTGTCATTGCCTTTCTCTATATGAACAAATACACTATTTAGATCACTGTTCAGCCATTTCATATAGAAAGCAATGTCTAGCAAAATTTCTACAAGAGATTTGGAAAACACAGCATTTTAAAACATTTTTAATCTCCCCCCTTCTGTTGGGGAGGGCAGGCTTTAAGCATATTTTATGATTTGGGAAAGGTTTAAAATGTACTATGTGAGGGGATATGGTGACGCCAGCACGTCAACCTGTACCTGTGGGGCAAGTGCATCAGCAGCCTGATGGTGCCTCTGACTTCCAGATACCCCAAAATCGCTGCTGTGCCTTTGGCCAGACCCCAACAACGTGGGGCCAAGTTTACCAAGAAATTAAATAGCCCAAAGTTAGGTATGTGGGAGACACACCAACAAACCACTTCTAACTCAGCTACATAAGCTCATTTTTTGTCCTTATCTCAGAAACCCATAAATCTCGAAAGAGATCAAAAGATGCAGTTAGGGCCTATAGTTCAGAGGTAGGCGGGAACCCATGACTGAGAGCCCCAGGCTCGCTTAGGTCAGGAGTGGGCCTCCTCCCCCCATGTTCCCAGTCTTCCAGTAGCTTGGCAGTCACACCCAGAAACTGCCCCCGGTGCCATGTAATCTCATCAAGGCCAAGACCCAGAGACTATAAACTAAAGCTCCCAAAAGAGAATGACACAGAATTTCCTGGACATTATATTCCATCTATAACAAGAAATACAAAACAAATTGTCTAGCATTGCCTTTTTGGCAGGTTTGAGTGGTGGTGAGACTGGTGTTAAAATATCGAATGTAGCCAAAGTAGAGAGAGAGTATGGGGGAAATTGTCTGCTACACAGGCAAAGGAAGGGTTGGAATGGGGGTGTGTCGGGGGGAATACTGGGGATTTTGCTGGTGGAAAATGTGAACTGGTGAAGGGATGGGTGTTCGATGGTTGTATGACTGAAGCTCAAACATGAAAGCTTTGTAAATGTATCTCACGGTGAATCAAAAAAAAGGGGGGAAAATAAAATGATAAAATAAAATTAACATTAATAATAGAATAAAAAAAGCAATGTGAAGTTCATGCCCAATTCAATCAGCTTTATTCAATGGCTGGATAAATAGCATTACTCCTACATTATTTAAAATTAAATTAATAAATAAATAATGTACTATGTGAACTAGAAAAATCAAGAGTTATAAAGTATGGAAAATAAAAATAATAATTATATCCCAAGGACTTTTGCTTAAGGATCAGGTCATATTCCCTTTCACTCTTCTCCTTATCACTTTATTTACAAATGTATCCTTTCCTAAGTGAAAAGGACTGCCATCAAAGTCACGAGCCTGTTATATTAACCATGATAAATTACTTTCCTATGCACCAACAGTTTTAATTACCCTTTCTTTATATGAATGATACACTTTGAGACACAGCAAGAGAGAAAATAAGAGTAATTTGCTTTTGTAAATCATTACTACACAACACATAGATCTAAAATGACTAAGTTCAATTAAGGTTTTAAAAGATGATTTTAAGTACCTTCTGACCAGTACCAGGAAGGAAGTTTCTCCTACTTTTCTTCTTATTATTATCAAGTATTATCTTCTCCTGCAGCCCTCAAAACTGCAAAAGTGAACTTTGCTTTTCTTCGGAATGCAAACATTTCTTTGCCTTGTTCAAGTTCTTTTCTTTTCTTATTTATTTATTTTGCTTTTTGGGTCACACCCAGCAATGCTCAAGGGTTACTCCTGGCTTTGCACTTAGGAATTATCTCTGGTGGTGCTTGGGGGACCTTATGGGATGCCGGGGATTGAAGCTGGGTCAGCCGTGTGCAAGACAAACGCCCTACCTGCTATACTACTGCTCCGGCCCTCTCAAGTTATTTTCTATAGCACTGTTTCTGTTATACCAGGTTTCTTCATTTGTTGCTAAATTAAGAATATAGTTCCACAAACATGATAACCTTTCAATATACTGGTGGAGGAATAGGTGTTGGAATACTGCATTATTGAAACCCAACCATGAACAGCTTTGTATCTGTGTTTCTCATGGTGATTCAATTAAAAATGTTAAATTAAATTTTAAAAACTTTAAAGAATATAGTTCCAATATAAGGAGAGTTTTTAAAATACACATGCATTCATATATTTGAAGTCTCTAAAAGCTTTGAATTTCTTAAAAGAGAGCATTAAGTAGATGTGGGCTATGGTTATTTGTAAGATAACATTGGTTTGTCTTTTCTCCCTTGCCACAGGGAGCTTAGGTGTTTTGGGTTACTCCCATCACAGTGCTCCTGAGTCACTCCCATTCCTTTGTTTATCTGTAACCTCTTTTCTGTGTTCTCCTCACCAACCATCTAATCACCCTTTTCCCCTAATCAGACTCTGTTAACTTGTAAGGTCAGATCCGTCTAAGGACACTGAACTTGTATTGTAAGTTAAATATTGCCTTTCTCCTCTCCTTATGTCTTTTGCATAGTTTACTTTAAAGCAATGTCCTTTTTGTATGGACACAAGAAGACAGTTAATGCTATGCTTCTGTAACTTGGGAGGTAATTGACTCTGAATAATATTCACTCCGGGGCATATGCTTTCTCTAGTTAAGTCTCAGTTGCCCTTAGTTCCTAGCACCCCAAAAGCAGGGTTACAATGAGGGACTGAATAGACCCAGGGGAACCTGTGAGCTACCCTAGCATCGAAAAGGGCAGGCCAAAGTGCCACAATACTTAACTATAAGTTATGAGCATGGTCATAGATGAATGCTGTCATGATCCAAAAGGTAACGACGAGATTAGGACCCTGCTAGGATTAGGAAAGACTAATTTGGCCTGAGCACTGTAGTCTGAGATCTTTAGCGAGATGTCCCCAGAAGAGTCACCCTACAAGCTCAAACATTAATATTATGAATGTTTGCATGTATGTTGGACAAGGAAAGGAGAAACACACCCATGGGATTCTGCTCTTGGGTGGTCGTCCTGCCGAATGAGAATCTATCCTAGGAGAAGCTTCCCCTGAGGGAAGGACTTTACTCCTGTTGATTGTATGACCACACCCATGTGTAATCATTACCCCAACCCCTCATGCTTTGGGATTTAACTAGGCTGGAAGGGTGGGCTGGAGGGATCCGTAAGGAGAATGAAGTAGGATGGGGAGGCAGAAGCAGGAAGGAGAAGTATGAAGGAGCAAGATCCAAGAGTGGGATGAGGGGGATCGGGGAAGTGGGATACGGAGAAGGAAGAGAATGGAGATGGGAAGGGAATAAACTGCAACTGACACCAACCAGCCTGGCCCTTGTTCCCTCCTTCGTCTGCCCATCGCCATCGGTGGGCCCAGGGTAGGGGAAGTAGTGTGGCCTTTCATAATTTTATTTTTTTGAATATACAGTTATTTTCAGTGCAGGTATATTGGCTATTATTCTTAGAATATAAGAACATTCACTGACATGATTCTTAAAGAAACTACTAAAAACAGAATCCCCTTTGCCCTGGGTGCAATATGGGGATGTTATTTGCACCAAACATCCCTGTTGGGCATTACCTAGTACTTCTTTTCTATAAAACACCCTCCCTCCAATGAAAGCTTTCTGAAATACTATTTTGAAATTTAATCAAGTTTGGTCGCTCAGCTTAGAAGAAATCAAAGGTGAAAAGTCATATTAAGAAAGCAATTAATTGTTGATGGAGAGAATGGATAGGGGTTAAGGCACTTGCTTTGTATGTGATCCACCCCAGTCCCATCCCTAGCATGAAAAATGTTCCCTGAGGACCATCAGGAGTGATCCCTGAGCAGAGCCAAGAGTAAGCTCTGAGTACCTCCGGATGTGGCCAGCAAAGCAATAATTAAAAAGGTATCCAATGAACAGCCTGAAAACTGAAGATGGTGTAGAATTACACACCCCTGTCTAGCACAGCGTTATTCAGTCTTATCCTTCTACACAGCATCTAGTGATATCTCAAAGCCAGCAATGTCTGAACTTAAAGCAAAAGTAACAGCTATTCCCAAGTACTACAAATATGGATATATCGTCGAGTGAACCACTCAGTTCTCAAGATGTGTTGGACCTCTTCATTCTACACATGGCACAGCAACAGCGTCAACCCTTGAACAAAGAGGTCTGTCAAGGGCGTCCTGCTAGAGTCTGCCCACATAGTTCTGATGATTGCTTCCACACGGGGCCGTGAAACCCTTACAAGAGAGGACTCACCCCCACCGCCAGGCTCTCTCTGTAAGAGAAAAAAAAAACACGATTCTCACCTGGTGGAAGAGAGGGCTATGTGTTGCTGGGATTCCCAGCCCGCTGAAGCACATCCCCAGAACCATGTCGTCGGGAGCATCATTGCTGTAGCAGCGGCACTTGCTGGAAAGAAGTCTCTTGATGGCTTCTCTGCTAAAGACCATCCTAGGGGGAATCAGAGCAGAGATGGGTTAAGAGCAGCTCCTGCAGACCGCAAACACAGATCAAGGGCACGCTGTTCTGATAAAGGCAAGAGATGCTGACCAGAGCAGTGTTTGCTTCTGAGGAGTCATTCTGAACCAAAACATTTCTGTGCTTTCTGTGAAAGCAAAATCATTTTTTAAAGAGAGTTTGACCTCTCTAGGAAGCAACTTTTTTCCTTGTACATATCTGTAAAATACGCTAACCCACTCAATGTTTTACTTCTAATGTGTCACTGGAAAATCAGAATAGGTTTTTCATTTCAAAACACTGGGTTAAAGAAAATCAGCCAAAAAAAAAAAAACACTGGGTGAGTTCAATAACAAAACCTACTGACATTCCAGAGGAGGGGGTGGAGGGGCTGAGACAGAAACAAAGAGGGAGAGAAAGGGAGGGAGAGGAAGAGAGAGAGAGACAGAGAGGAGGGAGAGGAAAAAAAAGAGAGAAGGGGGAGAGAGAGGAAGAGAGAGGGAGAGAAAGAGGGAGAAAGCTGGGAGAGAGAAAGAGAAATGGGGAGACCGAGGGATACAGAGTGGGAGAGACAGGGAGGAAGAGAAACTTGCCTCAGACTGGTGCTGTGATTCTACTTGCCCAGCCATTCCGGGTATTTTCTGAGGCCTTGTCCCATTTCTCTGAGCTCTCCTCCACACTGCAGGAGAACATACACCTACAAACGCCATTTGCCAGACTTCCTTGCCAGCTAAGCCCTGATCTTCCTCTCAAACCAGAGGCATAGTCCTGGCGAGCGTGGCTGCTTCTGGCATTGGGGGTATCTGTAGCAGAAGCAGAAGACGAGGCTCACCGGTTCCAGCAGGGCATATGGAAGCAGGAGTGGGTGTGGGTGAAGGGTGCTCTCTCACCAGCATGGAGTCAGTCCTCCCTCTGACCCCGACAGAAACCCCCACAGCTGGGCTCCAGTACCAGCACACACTGCTCCAGCCTGAGGGGCAACCGCTGCCTCCCAGGGCTACTCATCTCCCTTCGCGTCCTTTAGGGCATCAAATTTTTGTGTACTTTAGCTAACTTGCAACATTGCTTTCTGTAAAACTGCTTGGCTGCTTTGCACCTGGGGGAGAGGGGACTTGCAAAGTGAACAGGGCATAACTTCTTTCTACAAGATTCAGGTGTATTTACTGTCCCTGAAATGTATTGTCTCAGTAAAGCACCCTGCAGATTTGGGTAAAGGCTAACTCAGGATGCTGGTGGTTGGGGGAAATTGCCCTTTCCTGGAATGTATTGTCTCACTAAAGCACCCTGCAGACTTGGGTAACACAAAACGAGGATGGTCAAGGGAGATTACCTAAGGCTTAATGATTCCAGCTATAACCTTGCTTGTGCTGACAATCGATGTACGTAAATGCTGATCTTTGAATCTATAGGCTAAGGAGTGAGGTACTTTTAAATGGATTGGTTAAGAAAGTATATGTTGTTACAAATCTATTGGCTATGAAATGCGCGGGCTTTGCTGTAACGGCCAGTGAAGGCCTATATAAGATCCCCTTTGAAGAAGTTCGGGGCTCTCAGCCACTGCCCGTTTTTGGGGTATGCTGCGGAGCCCCAGCATGCTGGTCTAAATAAACCCCGTTTTTACTCCTGCAGGAATTGTGTCTATCTGGTCTCTCCGCGCCTCCCAGGGTCAGGGAACTCCCGATCCCAACATTTGGAGGTCCCACCGAGATCACCGAGGACCCTGCCCCAGGGACGCAGGATTGAGCCGCGGGGTAAGTTAAGGCGCCTCTTTCTCTCTCTTTGTTTCTCCGGTACCGTTTTACTCTAGTTACCGATCGGTGACACAAGCACAGTGGTGTGCAAGCACAGTGACAGTGGTGTGCAGCACACTGTTGTGTGTGCGAGCCTTGTGTCTGACAGACGTGTCGGGAATAGACACGGGCCGCAGCCCTGGGGGACGCCCCGGAGGTGGATGAGGGCCAGGGACGCCTGGAGGCCTCTTTTGTGGTAGCCTCGGAGAGGCTACATCTGGTGTGTCAATCGGCCGCTCTATTACTTCTCTATTCTTCTTTCCTCTCCAAAAGGCCTTGCGCTTGCGTCATTCTTTTTTTGTAGGTTGGATCACGCTCGTCCTTTTTCTCTACCGAGACACCGTCTTTGGAACCATGGGACAATCTCCGTCCACTCCTCTCACTCACTCTCTCCCACTGGTCAGAGGTCTGCTCTCGTGCTCAGAATCCTTTTCTGATTGTTAAAAAGCCTAAATGGCAGACCTTTTGCTCTGCAGGATGGCCGACGTTCCAGATTGGTTGGCCCCCCGAGGGATCGTTCCACTCGCCGCTTATCTTCCAGGTCAAGGGAGTCATCTACCAGCCTGCTCCCCGGGGGTACCCGGACCAGGAGCCTTAGGCAGGAGTGCCAGGCCGGGGGGAGAAGGGGCCCCCACTTACTCTGCTCCTCCTCTGCCCCTGAACCCCGAACTCTCTATTGCCACTCCCGGGCCAGCACTGGCCTTTCCCTACTTCTGATCTCTTCACTTGGAAGAACTAAACCCTCTGGAGGTGAAAAATCATGTGCATGCCCTTTGGGCATATTTGGGAGTCCCAGGGTGACTGGTGAGTGTGGTGCACACCCGTGTGAAAGAGTGGACCGGTCCGAGCGAGTGCCTAAGTGTGATCTGTGCGTGTATCCATAGTGTGTGTATTTATTATCTTTCTCCTAATTCTGTTTATTAAGATTGTTTAATACGGGTCAGAATTGATCACTTCTCTGAGATCCACAGGAAAGCTCAGGATCTGGGCTTGATGATCAAGAAAGGTAAATTTGACACTTATTGTTCATCAGAATGACCTTCCTTCGGTGTGGATTGGCCCCCACGAGGTTCCTTCTCTCCAAACCTTGTGGCTCAGATAAAGGAGGTAATCTGTGGAAGATCTGCTGTGAAGTTCTCCTCCAGGCAAGCATCTGAATAGTCTCTGCAAAGAGGCACCCCTCCTTTGTCTGTCTTGCGTCACCATCCACTATTGGGGGGATGGGAGGAAAGCCCACTAGTGAGAAGATTCTGGGAAACTAAGGCAGATCAATTTACAGGCAGAAAATCCTTTTCCCCACCCAGTCTCAGCTAGAGGTCAATTCAAATGCTAATGAAGGCAGTCCAGATGTAAGGCAGAAAGAAAAAAAAAAAGGGGGTAAAAGGCAGGTAAGAAGCCTAAGAAAAGCAGCAAGCCAGCAAAAGCAGGGAAGATGTAGCAAGCTGAGAGAAGGCAGAACTGTTTTTTTTTTAAGGAGCAGAGTTTTTAAGACCACAGCACTAACTTCGGCTCAGGCACACAGCTGTGGGTCTGCCCAAAGCCAGGCCCACCCAGGTGGAGATGAGCCTCTGAATAAAGGCCAATTTAAGGGAGGTTAGAGTCCCCTTAGGAGAGGCAAAAGTGATAGACCTGGAGAAAAGTTTTGCCAAGGAACCATCCCTTTTCATAGATTCTTGCTTGCAATTAGGAAATCATCTGAGGAGCTTCTAACTAGGTAGTTTTAGATAAGGAGATCTTATTGACCTCTGTAACACCATGTGGCCTGAGTATATTGGGGAAAGATAGCCAGTGAATGGCAGTTTGCATTACCAGATCATTTTGCAGTCAGATCTTTGCAGGTAACAAAAGAAATAGGAGAGTATCAAAGCAGAGGAGGCAGGAAAATGCGAGATCTTATGATTAACTGTTTGACATCAGAAACAAAGAAGCCTATCCCCATGTCTGATAGGAAGGTACTAGTTCCCTGCCTCAGAATTAGCCTTGGCGAAAATATGGTAACATCTTTGTCATAGTTTATTTTGCCGGCTTATATCAACAAAAGCGCTTTCTTGACCCATTTTTAACAAGTGGGAGACTGACTAGTTAGGCTGGGAAATGAGGAGCAGAGTTCCCAATCAGCCGCCCTGGGAGCTGTCCCTTCCTTTCTCAGTCCATCAGTTTCTCCCTGCCATTTTTTTGAAGGGTCAGATTGATCGATCAACTACAGATATGTGCACATGTACGTGTGGTGTTTTCGTCAGTTCACTGTCTGTCTGTCTGTGTCCATCTGTCTGTGTCTGACTGTCTGTCTGTCTGTGTGTCTGTGTGGAACACTTGAGTGTTGGAACCAGGCTGAAATCAGAAGTAGAAATTTTAGAGAAGTTAGTGACATGCAACCCAGTGATTTAAGAAATGCAGTTGTTTTAGGAACCTGTTAGACAAGGGTTAATCCTTATCAGAAGGTTGAGCCTACAGAGAAAGCAGAATTCTCAATCTAAATTTCTTGTTAGAAGAACATTGATTATATTATTAACAGTTGAAATCCTTTTTGAACTTAAGAATCTTGTACTGTCTAGAAGAGCTATGGAACTAGAGCCTGAAACTAAAGTGAAATAAGAGTTCAGAGAAAGCAAGAACTTGTCTTACAAGCCTCAGCTAACTTTTATGAAAAATCTGTAAGAGGCAGTTTCCCTTTTCTCACAGAACCTAGCAGGTCTTAGATACGGAGATCTCAGGTGCTAGCCAGGCCTGATCTTTGGGTTGCAGATTCCCAGCTCTAGGCAGGCTAGTCTTTGGTACGAGAGTGGAGAGAGGATTGGAATAAACTGCAACTAAGATCAAGCAGCCTGGCCATAAGGTTTCCTTCCTTTTCCTGCCCATCTCCATTTACCTCCCTGGAGTGGGGGAAACTACAGAATGCTGGCGGTGGGAAAGATAGATTGTTGCCATCCTTTTTGTGCTCACACAACAATTCAAATATTTTCTTATGCTGATATCAAAGTTTGGTTAAAAAAAAAATCCAAAGGGCTTTTTCTGTGTCTGAAAGCATGTTTGTATTTCTGTGGAATTGTTAAAAAGTATCTGGTGTAGAAAGCTCATGATTTTAAATAATTAAGGTACAAGAACTATTGAAATTAAGCCAAAGAAGGTTTTATCATGTTTTATAAAAATTGATTGTTTATAGGTCTTATGCTGTTATGTTAATGTACATATTTGTATCTGCAT